GTTGTTTTAAAAAAAGTACTTATAAAAAATATATAACATACACATATATATATATATGTATATATATATATAATTTTTTTAATTAACATTATATAGCAAGAAATGTGGCTGGAAAATGTCTAGATCCGCGGGATTGTGTTATGACAATGGGTCCAGAAAAATCTACAGACCCGCACATGCGCAGTAGCATGCTAGATTTCTGGACTCCCCTCACTCGCCCCCGGAAGTCCAGGAATCTCACGGGGTCGGCGAACTGAAGTCTGAAGTCCTCTAGTGTGGAACGTTGAATGCGTAGATTGCGTCTCTGCAGTGCTGTGCGATGTACACAAGAGTCCAGAGTCTGTACTGAAAGATAATCGGTGCTAAACGCTGAAGTATGACAAGAGCTTTACAAATGTACTTCAGTTTTGTAAATAACTCCAGCTTGGAGGGAGGAAATTAAAAGAAAACTGAAATTATCTTCATATTGGTAAAATTATTTACATCCGTCTGATATCGCTTACATGTTTAACATAGATCTAATCTAATGAACACATATTCACCATACTACTCTGTACCAATGCAAACATTTCACTCTGCCACTATGGTGCATGTGTCCTTCTTAGCTCTCCGCCGCTGCGCTAATGTGTCCTCCGTCACTCTCTGCTGCGCTGTGTCCTTCTTCACTCTGCTGCTGACCTAATGTGTCCTCTGTCACTCTCTGCTGCTGCGCTTATGTGTCCTTCACTCTCTGCTGCTGCACCAATGTGTCCTTCACTCTCTGCTGCTGCACCAATGTGTCCCTTACTCTGCTGCTCACTAATGTGTTCTTCACTCTCTGCTGCTGCACTAATGTGTCCTTTACTTTCTGCTGCTGCACTAATGTGTCCTCCGTCACTCTCTGCTGCTGCACTAATGTGTCCTTTACTTTCTGCTGCTGCACTAATGTGTCCTCCGTCACTCTGCTGCTGCACTAATGTGTTCTTCACTCTCTGCTGCTGCACTAATGTGTCCTCCATCACTCTCTGCTGCTGCACTAATGTGTCCTCCGTCACTCTCTGCTGCTGCACTAATGTGTCCTTCATCACTCTCTGCTGCTGCACTAATGTGTCCTTCATCACTCTCTGCTGCTGCACTAATTTGTCCTTCACCCCTCTCTTCTGCTGCACTACTAATGTGTCCTCCATCACTCTCTGCTGCTGCACTAATGTGTCCTCCATCACTCTCTGCTGCTGCACTAATGTGTCCTCCATCACTCTCTGCTGCTGCACTAATGTGTCCTCCATCACTCTCTGCTGCTGCACTAATGTGTCCTTCGTCACTCTCTGCTGCTGCACTAATGTGTCCTTTGTCACTCTCTGCTGCTGCACTAATGTGTCCTTCGTCACTCTCTGCTGCTGCACTAATTTGTCCTTCACTCTCTGCTGCTGCACTAATAGGTCTTTTGTCACTCTGCTGCTACACTAATGTGTCCTTTTTATAAATTCTTTATTTTCCAGAAAACAAACATTTTTCTTTCCACACATATAACATGTAATAACGGCAAGGTACAATATTGGCCCTCACAGGCCGTAAAAGGTATTCGTACATAACCAATATGCGGTGTTACAGGGTACAACTAAGGGCGTTCAGGGGCTGATATAGGTTTTTTCATAAATATAACAAACAGGTACTAATGTGTCCTTCTTCACTCTCCTCTGCCGCTGCACTAATTTGTCCTTCACTCTCTTCCGCTGCACTTATGTGTCCTTCACTCTATGCCACTGCACTGATGCTGTGTTAGGGCTGGTACACACCATAGCATTAAGCTAAAGGCACTGTACCCATGTATTTAGAGTTTATAAAGTTTTTAGAATGCATCTCTTACATCCAGCTCCTCTCCCCTGCCACCATTCAAAATGACAGCCAGTAACTTCTGTGTATTGCACAGCAGGGGTAGGTCTTGCATATGACATCATTTACAGATGTGGACACATTTATTGTTACCCTTCCATGAAGAAGAACTCTCTGAAATAACTTGAAATTGACATATTTAATACAAATCAGACTTGGCTTTTTGTTTTGATTTAACAGAATATTTTAAATAAACAAATTAAAATGATATGGGCAAATATGATGAGACTCTTAACCTAATATTTTGTTGCACAAACATCAGAAGCAAACAAGTGATTTCTGTAGCTCTCAGTGAGACTTCTGCACTTGCAAGTATGTCGTTTTTGGCCACTCTTCTTGAGCCAGCTGCTATAGCTGTCTCAGGTTTAAATGATGCCTTTTTCCAGACTGTGTTTCAGCTCTTTTCATAGATGTTTGATCGGATTCACATCAGGGCTCATAGAAGGCCACTTCAAATGTGTCCAATGTTTTGCTCCAGGCATTCTTGAGTGCTTTTATCTGTGTGTTTGGGCCATCATCCTGTTGGAGGATCACTGACCTGCGACTGAGTCAGAGCTTTCTGGCACTTCCTTCCTGGTATTCCTTGATAGTCTGGAGATTTCATTGTGCTCTGCACAGATTCAAAGCATCAGATGCAGGAAAGCAGCCCCCATACATAACTGAGCCTTTTCCATGTTCCACAGTAGATATGGTGTTCTTTTCTTTGAAAGCTTAATTTGTTCATCTGTGAACATAGAGCTGATGTGACTTGTCAAAAAGCTGATCATTGTCCCTTGTTTCTCCGACTACAAAACAAATACAATGGGCAGCCAACTATTTTTAGAACCAGACACACTGTTTTGGGATGTGTATTAAGTCAGTAACTGTCACTTGCTTTGCAGTACAAATACAAAGTGTTGATTAGATTTACATGCGTAATGAGGAAACTACTGCAGAAGCTACTGATCTGTGAGGATTTACACTGAATAGCACAATAAAACATCCAGCTTAACACCAAAGCGCATTTACTGCTTACATTATTATGTGTCAAAAGCAGCAGAAAGGTCTAATAGCAAGAGTAAGGAATAGTGGCCATTGTGTTTAGCTGTTATTAAGTCATTAGTGAGTTTTAGGAGGGCGGTTTCCGTGGAGTGTAGGGGGCGAAAGCCAGACTGTAAGGGATCGGGAAGGCTGTTATCAGCGAGGTGGTGCAGGCGGCTGTAGATAAGGCGTTCTTGAGTTTGGAGGTGAATGGGAGTAAGGTGACTGGTCTGAGATTGTTAAGGTTGGTAGGGTCCATTGATGGTTTTTTGGGTATTGGGGTGACCAGGGCATGCTTTAGAGGGGAGGGAAAGATTCCAGTAGAGAGGGAGAGATTGAAAATGTGAGTAAGAGAGTGTAGGATAGAGTATGAGGGTGACCGAAGTAGTGGTGAGGGAACAGGGGGCAAGTGGTGAGGTCGGTGTCAGAGAGAAGCTTTGTAACCTCCTCTGTGGTGACCGGGTCAAAAGAGGAGAGTGACAAGTGTGATGGTGGGTCTGGAATATGGATAGGGAAAGGTGACTGCACAATGGCGATCTGATCCCGAATTGTATCTATTTTGTTTTTGAAACGAGTGGCAATGTCCTGGACAGTCAGCGAGTTAGTAGGTGGTGGCGGTGGGGGACATAGTAGAGAGTT